AGTCCTGACTCAGGAATGTTAATGTGGAAAGTCAGAAACATTCAAGCGTTTGACGGATTTCACCGTTTAGCACACAGACAGTTTTGGCCTTACGTGTGTGGACAGGAGCACAGACATGTGCACCTTTAGCTCCTTTGTGATGTCAGGCCGTCTGAGGCTTCTGATTGGCCGGTGTGCAGAAACCATTCGAGCTGAGTACAGCTTCGTGAGTGGCGGTGGAGATGAAACAGTTTCTTTGTTTACGTCTGAAATTGATTTTAAAGCAGCTCCTTTGAATATTTTTCATTGGTGTGTGTCTGTGTGTGCGTTTGTGTGTGTGCACGCGTGTAGGGAGGGATGTGCTCGGTGTTCATGCAGGAATCTGAGAAGGTGGTGAGCGTCAGCAGCGATCACCTGGAGCCGGTCACGCCCACCAAAAACAACAAGGTAAGAACCACAGTCGCCGTTCCTGGCGTCCAGCTGTCTGCAGATCGTTCGTTTAGAGCGTGCGTGAGGCTCAACGCTGCGTTCGCTCTGTTTCAGGTGAAGGTGATTCTCGGAGAGGACCGCGAGGCCACGGGGATCCTTCTGAGCATCGACGGAGACGACGGCATCGTGCGCATGGAGCTGGACGACCAGCTCAAGATCCTGAACCTGCGGTTCCTGGGCCGCCTCGAGCACTGAGCCTCGCAGAGCTCCCACACAAACATCTGGTTTTTATTACCTAAAGATCCAAAAACCACATCTGGCTCTGTGTGCGGTTCAGCAGATCTCTCTGTTTTTGGCATTTTTATTTCCTTCTTTTCTTATTAGTGGTCTGAATCTGCTTTTAGTGCTTTTCCTTCATGTTCTGTCTGTGACTTTGGTTTTCTTGATGCAGCAGGATGAAAATAATGTGTAACATGTTAATAAACTGATTCAGTGGCATTTTTGTTTGTTGTTGTGTCAAAGCCGCGACGCGCTGTCACAGGCTGGGTTGTCATAGCGACAGATAATCGATGCAGTCAGCTGATCAGATTCTGACAGGACAGTTATTTTAGCTGCTCTGACCTTGGGCCTCCGCCATCGTGCAGCTACCAAACGCTGCAGTTCCTGCAACATCCAGCAGAGGCAGCAGCGAGTCCCCACAGACACACTGTTTGGTCTCTGGATGAGTAAAGTTTGCCTTATTAGGGGCGTGGCCTCTTTGACTGACAGGTGGCTGTAGCTGCTACGTGTTGCTAGGCTTCACCTGAGCTGGTCTGTTTGTGCTGTTGGAGCTTTTTTATTTATTTTTTCTGATGACATCATGTGACCAATAACGTGGCTGCTGAGGTTACTGTAGTAACAGACCGTCCATGAAGGCGGAGCTTATTAGCAGGTGCCTGTGTGACAGCGATATCCAGGTTTTAAGACGAGTGGTCACTTTCTACGTGTTCCACCTCCCCGAGCGTGAAAACCATGATTGACAGGAAGTGACGCAGCACTAAAGAAATGACAAGAGAAACTGTAAAAATCACTTTATTGATTTTTTATTTTTCACATTTCAGCTCTTCAGACATTTCTTGCGGTATCTGGGGTAAACCTGCTGCTACTCAGGCTCCACCTGTGATGGCGATGGCTTTAGCCGCAGGGCCGCTGTGGCCGCTCGTGGTTTATGGGGAAATAGTAGAAGGGCACCCGGTCAGGACAGGGGTGCCCTGGGGAGGGTAGTGGCCGTGAGTCGGCGTCGTCAGCATCGATGCAGAGATCGCAGCCTACGGTGAGGTTCCGATTCAGGCGGATCTTCAGCTGAAACCACAGCTCTCTGTCCTGGAGGAGAGACGGCACACGGAGCTACTGACAGCCGCTCCTCAGCGAGCACAACATGAACACAAAGTAAGACTTGTCTCTGTGGATCGAGGCAGCGGCTCGCATTGCAAAAAGACCACATGAAATTACAAACTTTGGGACGTGAAACCATGAAGTTCACACACTGAAGCATCGCGCCTGACGCAGCTGGTCCTGAATTTTCTAAAAGAGAAGCTACGATGGGCCACGTTAAGAAAAAATATTCATCATTTTGAGAGCAAATTAAAAATTTCGAGATTAATGTGGAAATGTGCAGATTACATTTGTCGTACTGCAAAATTGTTTCAGTTACAATGATTTCTCTTTCAGCTCAAACACAGAGATGAAAGAAGTGGAAGAGTTGGACACGTTTGTACGGACAGATGCGAGGTTATTGATGGCTATCGATGGTTATCG